TCCAGAGAGGAGAGGGCAGAGGGGAGCAACTCTTCAGTTATTCTTGTTTCTATTTTTGAATAGAAATATCCAAATGGATATTGCAAAGATTGTCCATGTTTCAATACTAACTTCTTTGCAATAAATAAAAATAATTCTGTTAGTGAATAATAAGTGATAACTCACTCTTATGTGTGTTGTCGTAAGTGTAAAAACACAGAATTATAAGATTTGATTATTACTTTTAAGTAATTTGACAAGTAATACCAAGCAGACAGATCTATGAAGTGTAGTTGTAACACAAACATATATAGACATAGTCCTTAGTGGATTTATAGATCGTATAGATAAAATTGGCATCATCATTAATTTCTCTAGACTTGTTTTCTCACTTGTAACATGGAAATAATATAATCTTTGTAGAATATTATACATAATAAATTATTTAATTTATCTAAATTCTCCAAGTGCAGATAAACTATTCAATTAAATTTGGATCTGAGAATAATTAAAGGGAAAATGATGCGTTAGAATCTCATGAGATATTTACTCACTAGTAGCCATATTTCATTAAAATAGCTTTCTGTTAGTGATGAATTTAAGAGAGAACATGTTAACCTATTGAAATATAAGCTGTTGAATTCAGGTCTAACTTTGATTTACCATTCTACTGCAGAACAGTTGGTACACAAACTCAGATTGATAGAATGATATTCATGTTTTCTTCTTATCATTCAAAGGGCAAGTCAGTTTCCAGATATCTAAACTGGATCTAGAAATATGGAATAGAAAGATGAAAATGGTATTTAATGAACCATTCAACCGATGCATTCTCATAACAAGTTATAGATTCCCCTTTTATGACACTTTATGGAAGTCTGTTGCATCAATTGCAAACGTTTTCCCCAAATATTACACAGGTATGGAGAAATTAATTGGAGAATTAAGTTATTAAATAAATCAAGTTAGGGTGCCAGAGAGATAGTGCAGTGGGGTAAAGTGTTTGCTTTACATGTACCGAAGCTTGGTTTGATTCAAGGACCATATAAGGTCCTCCAAGCACAGTCAGGATTAATCCCTGAGTGCAGAGTGAATAGTAAATCTAGAGCACAGTCAGGTCTGATTCCCAAAATATAAAAAGAAAGAAAAAAATAGAGAAAATCAAGCCTATGAAAATTGCTTTTAAAAAGAATATTAAGACTTCTCTGTGTAGACTGTAGCACTACACTGTAGCACAGTCCTCCCGTTGTTCATTGATTTGCTCAAGTGGGCACCAGTAACTTCTTCATTGTGAGACTTGTTGTTACTGTTTTTGGCATATTGAATATGCCATGGGGAGCTTGCCAGGCTCTGCCATGTGGGTGGGATTCTCTCGGTAGCTTGCCGGGCTCTCCGAGAGGGAAGGAGGAATCAAACATGGGTAGATGCCCTACCCGCTGTGTTAGGAACAAAATATTGCAAAAATCAACCTTGAATGACTTGGAGAAATTCTCCATGAAAACCCTCTTTCTCTGCATTTCCTCTCAAAACTGGGTACCCTTGGGTAAAATTTAGCTTCTAGCTACTCAAAGAGTTTTACCAGAGCCTCTGCCTTGACAGTACCTTGGCATAGGAAGAACATGCTCCCCACATTCCCCTTCAGAGCTTCCTACCTCAGCTGAGAGTCTCCTCTCACTGTACCCAAGATCCGGCCAGGCCAGAGACTGAGGCACAGACAGCTGTGTCTGGTTAATTTGCTTTAAGTTCAATGCTAGAGCATACCCACCACTGATACTTTTGCCACATACCATGAAACATTTTTCCATGAATGGTAAAAATAATTAGTTATGTTTGCTTTGACAATTTTGTTTCAAATTTGGTCTACGAAGTGAAAGCAGAACTAGCCATCTTAAGTACAACAAGATAACAATACTGTATGCTGATTTGGTTGTAAATATTATGCAAAGATTCCCTTGAATTGTGACTTAATAGTGTTGAATCCGATTGCAAACTACTCTAGTAAATGAGAACATACCGATGTGCAAATCCTTCAGGGAGTATGGCCGTCTCTTCCAATCATTAAAACCCCCAAATTTACCAGGTTATGCCAATTTTAAAAGAGGTAACTAGTGAATCACAATAATCTTCAAGAACATTAGTGATCAATTCTCCAGTTAATGAGGATATAATGGCTTTTTCTCTTATTTATCTAATGCTCTCTATCAAATTTATCAAATAAAAGGTAAACTTAACAGAAACACTGAAACATTAAGTATATTACCACATTAGAGTTTCAGCAACTGTTCACGTACCATAGTGCTTTGGTCAGCAACTGTTCTGGTCAGCTACTGTTCACGTTACCATAGAGCTTCCTTCCAAGAGTTCATTTCTTATTTCAAAATGCAAAAATTGGAGGTGAAAGAGATCCTGGTTTCAGTTACTTCGATGAAAGACATATGACATGCCAAGAACATATAACAGCGTAGAAACAAACACTTATTTACAAACTTGCATCCAACATATTTATAGACTCATACCTGTATGAGGACGACTAAATTGCAGCAGAAAAGGGAAAAAATTGCCAGAGAAATAATGCAGAGGATAGGACACTTGCCTTTCACATGGCTAATGTGGGTTTGCTCCCCGCAAAACTGCCTGATCCCTGAGTGCAGAACCAGGAGTAACCCGGGAGCATGTCTCACCAGGTGTGGCCCAAAAACAAAAACAAAAAGAAAAAAGAAAAAAACTTTAATTTAGTTATCAAATTTTTGTTTCATTATGTCCTTCCAGTTCATTTTAAAAATAAATCATTTTGTGTATAATAGATTAACTAAAGCTAATTAAAATACCTTAAAAATGGTAAAGTACTTACAGCAAAAATATCTCAAAATATCAGCAGCTACCAAAGTGGTACCTGGTGGCATGAAGTTTAAAGTTTTTAGCTTGTGATCACCAACAGGTGTAGGAATGGTTAAATGAAAAAATAATTTTGAATTCTTGCGATTTTACTTTCTATATTATATGAAAGAGGGAGGTTTTATTTTTGCTTTCCAAAAACAGCATGTTTCTTATTTAATCCTTGTATAATAAATAGAAAAATTTAAACTTTTGACCAAATTTAGGATATCAAAAATGGGAAGTGTAGGATTTGGGTACGTTGCTATAACATTATGCTCCTAAAACATAAGCACTGCTATTATTATAAAGCACTTTATCTCATATATAAAATCATTTTAAAACAAACACTGTCCTCTGAAGAAAAATTTAAAAATAAAAATATTATGTAACTAGAACCAATACTGAACTATCACTCCCATCTGAATCCTAACTTTGAATATGACTATATTTGGGTCTAAGTAGTAATTAAAGTCACATAAAATGACAATGGCAGAGTACTAATCTATTAGAACTGATAAGAAAGAGGAAAACACTTAACATCCACTATGGAAAAAATTCTTAAATGTGCAACATGGTTTTGCTAACAATAGGCATTATGCTGAACTGTAGATTGCTAGGAATCCTTCATCTTAAAAAAGCTATTAACCATCTTTCTACTCTATGCTTTCATAAGTTTGAATATTATAGTTATCCTCTTATCATTATCATTATCATAACAAATAAAGAGTAGGAGGAAACTTTGTCATGTGGATTGATTGATATATAGTCAATCACTACTAGGATAAAGTCACCCCACTTCCTTCCTTAACCCTGCCTCTATTTTGTTCTTCTATTTATATTACTAATTATTGTCTTGGTGAAGCCAGTGTTTACAAAAATTATTCTTTACACCAGATGTATTCTAGTATACAAGTCAAATTCACACCTATTGATTTAGATTGATTCAGATTAAACATAAAATAAGCAATTCCATGAGGAAAAGCTAGATATTTTAACTAGCCTTTTAACAGATAAATATCCCAAGACAAGTTGACTAAGTGGTTTTAGTTGATAGTTGTAGATAAAATCCTCTCTACAATAAAATAGAAGGTATTTTTTAAAAACTTTTTGTTTTTAAATGATTCACCGTGAGATACAGTTACAGACTTACAAACTTTTGTGCTTACATTTCAGTCATATAATGATCGAGTTCCCATCCCTCCACCAGTGCCCATTCTCCACCAATTTTCTCATTTTCCCTGCCCTCCCCCCCCCCCCCCCCCCGCCTCTGTGACAGGTGCATTCCCTTTTACTCTAATAGAAGGTATTCTAAAGGGAAGGGCGAAAGCTACATAGGCTTCACTAGAATTATATAATAAGTCAGGGAAAAAACCTGGATCTGATTTGCCTCATAATTATCAATTATTTCATTGTTCCATAATGAATGCTGATTGAACTAACCTCTAAAACCCAGTTTTCTGTTCTTCTTTGTATGTTCTTTCATTGTATAACTGAAATGTAAGCACAAAAGTTTGTAAATCTGTAACTATATCTCATGGTGATTCATTAAAAAATAAAAAAAAATCATCCTGTTATTCATCGATTGCCTCGAGCAGGCCCCAGTAACATCTCTTTCATCCTAACCCTGAGATTATATTCAAGGCTCTTTAGGAGAATGAGACCCATCATTGTTACTGGTATTTGGCATATTGGATATGCCACAGGGAGTTTGCCAGACTGCCGTGTGGGCAGGCTACATTCGGTAGCCTGCCAGTTTGTCCAAAGTAGGAGTGAGATGTCATAATAAGATGTCGCGTGGCCGCAAATGTGGCCGCGTGGTTCCGGGAGCTGGTTTTTATAGTCTCTGAGTCTTGGCCGCTGATGGGATTACATGGCGCCAGGGGGCCAGTTGGTGGGTGTGACCCCTGCCTACTGGAATTTGGAGGATCTGGGTGGAGGATGCTCGACTCCAATCCGAGTAGGCTTGGAGATCTCGGCCCCGGAACCCACTTGGCTTTGTCCCTCTGCCAGTACCTTCAGGTGTGCGGAGAGTGGTCTCAGCATGGTGGTGGCTGGTCCTGGAGGTCTTTGGCTGCCGGGGCCCTGGTCGGGGCGGGGAGGAAAGCTCAACCCGCTCCCCTCCAAGGGGCCCTGGCGAGGAATAGCCAGGCGCGGGGGCAGGAGATTGCCAGGGGCTTTAAGCTAGTGATGGCCTCACTGTACCACATCTACGAGGCCCTGGAGGAGGAGATCGAGTGCAACAAGGACCACCCTGCCTTCAAACCCCTCTACTTCCCCGAGGAGCTGCACCGCGGCCCGGCCCTGCGACGCACCCTGGCCTTCTGGTACGGCCTCGACTGGCGAGAGGCCATGGCCCCCTCCCCGGCCACCCGGCACTATGTGCGTCGCCTGCATGAGGTGGGGCACCGGGAGCCCGAGCTGCTGGTGGCCCACGCCTACACGCGCTACCTGGGCGACCTGTCCGGGGGCCAGACCCTGCGCAAGATCACGCAGAAGGTGCTGGACCTGCTGGGCGACAGCGACGGCCTGGCCTAAAAAATAAAAAGTTTTAAAAAAATACCTTCTATTGTAGAGAGGATTTTATCTACAACTATCAACTAAAACCACTTAGTCAACTTGTCTTGGGATATTTATCTGTAAAAAGGCTAGTTATAATATCTTTAAAGCATAGATTGATAATTTGCCTGTTTATGCCAGCATCAATGTGATAAAGCCAAAGAAACCCCCATGATAAGACTATGTCATATAGAACATCACATCTTCTTTCCTATCCTAACCTACTCTATCCCATCCTCTCCTACCCTATCCTATCCTACCCCTTATTCTGTATAAAAATCCTTCAGTGATTCTTCAGTACTCCTTGAATAAAGCCCAAGCCTCTATATGACCTGCAATGAAGGTCCACATAATCCTGTTCCCAAAAGTTTATTTATGCCACATCTTCCTCCCTGACATACTACTTCCAATTCAGCGACACCTTCAGATATTTGAGTGAGCCATGCTGCTCCCATTGACATTCCAGTGTGTTATTTCCCACTTAGTTTTAATGAATACTCTTCATATTTATACTCAATGGACATTTCCTCAAGTAAGTATTCCCTGATCTTCCTAATTAGTTCAACACAACTACCATCAATTTAAATAACCCCATGTCTTTGCAACCAGAAGTCTTTATACTTTTATGTTTATTTGTATAACTCAATGATTAACATTCTTTATATCAAGTGCATAGAGAAGTAGGGATAGTTCTTTGGCTTGCTATGGTTCTTTGGCTCACTGCCACATTGGGTATATAGATTTGGTATTCAATAATTATTGCTGAACAAATTAATGCACAAAAACTCAAAAGAGAATGAAAGCAACTCTTCAAACTAATTCTAATTAATTCTCATTAAAATATACAGTAGGTAGGGTACTTGCATGTGGTCAATCTGGATTCAAACCCCTGCACTACATATATTCCCCTGAGCCCTACTAGAAGTGATACCTGAGCCATTATCAGAGGTGGCTTTAAAATGCACACACACAATTTATATTGCAATAGAAGCTATGTACTTCTTTATTGGTAGGTATTCCAATGATGTACAGTGAATAAATGTGGCATGGCCTATTTCTGTTTTTTAAAAATATTAACAAATAAGATGCTAATTAGTCTTAAAGAACTACTGTAATATTCTAATATAAATGCTAGTTTTTAAATTTGTGTTGAGAATGATTTCCTTCATCCTTTTCTTTTCTCCAGACCTCTTCTACCATGTAATAACATTTTTGTTTTAAAATGGCAGCAGTTAATATGGTTTTGATACTCTTGATAGTAGAAAGCACTGGTTATTCGCCAACCTGTTTGCGGATTATAGTAACCATGATAATTGTTGGCAGTGGGTAGTGGAGGCCTCCAGCCCCAGAATATTGAGCATCTGAGGAAATGGTCCCCAGACCTCTTTCATTTTCCCAGTTCTTTGTTAAGATCTCACCTTGAGTTTAGTTCCATTAAGAAAAACTTCTGCAGCAGAAATACACTTGCTTCTCAATATCCCTTTGGTGAGCTTTGGGGTTTCCTGGTGAAAGGATTTTTTCATGCATAATTCAGTCAACCCAACTCAGGAAAAATCATCATTTAAAAAGCCAATTCTGTGCAAATTTTACCACAGATTTAAGAGAAGAGAGATTTAGGGCAAAAGAAGCAAAACAAATAAGAGATGGTCATGAAGAAATTATGTTGAAAAGTTTTTTTTCCTAAAGCAGAAATAAGTGTACATTTCCCTCTCCATCCTATTGTTTCAGAGGGAGAACTCTCAATAAATTAAAGTGGTATTTGCACAATGGTCTTTAAGTCACTAACTCTAGAGGGGAAAGGGGCAGGTGGAAGACTGCTTGAAATTGGCTAATTTGGTGTCTTTGTTGGTTAATGCCAATACATTTGTGTCAGGAGTCAAGAAAGGATTTAGCTCTCCACTTGATCTGTGGCTGTGCCTCAGGGGCAGTGAAGTTTTGAAGGGAGAAAACCAATGGAGGATTTGTGTTTCGCCCCATCAGTTTGAACTGAAGATTCTAAGAAGATGTTTGTAGCCCTGTCCTTTCTCTTAGCAGATTTTTTGCACTGAATCATCATAACATGTAAAGCCCTGACACCCAGGATATCCTGAGGGAGAAAGCAAGAAAGAAGGATGTAATTGTGCCAATTCATCTGGTGAGGAGACTGGGGACATGATGTCCTTTGGGCAAAATAAATTGTTATTTTGGGACCTGGTATTGATCATTTTGGCAGTAGTATCCTGGAGGGAACAAATCTAGAGTTGGGAAAATATGCTTGGGTGCCTGGGGCAGTAAGTCAATTTGTTTTAAAGCTTTGCTTTTTTTCCACCCATATTTATTCTGGGTGAATATCAATTAAAGATTCAATGTTTAAAGTTGGTATGTGATTTATATTGTGCAATTTAATTTAAAAAACTTCTTATATTCTTTATTTCAGTAGTCATGTATGCAAGGCAAATAAACAAATCACATTATAAAATTTGAAATGTCTATAATATACAACAAAATACTGATTTTTAAAGATACACATAGTGTTTTATAGAAGCATAATGTCTCCTGATATTCAAATTTTGATTCTCTATGCCCCTCAATTCCTTGTCTCATACTTGATAAAAATCCTCACTTATATTTTAAGAAGAAATTTTTCAATAAAATCTTGAATGCAGGTTTAAATCTGTACCATCATGGTAGAATTTGATACAATTCTCATATTTTAGACTAAGAAAATCACGATGTAAAACATTGTCAACTCTGAAAAATAAACAAATGCTCTACTACAAAAATATACTTTATTTTCTTCTTAACAAAGTGTTATCTCATTGTTCTAAATCCTCAAACTATGCTGGCTTTAATAACAAATGCCCTATAGTCCTAACCATGTCCTGGTACAGAGGTTAAGAACTGTAGAAATAGCAGTGAATTGGAGTATCGTGAGACCATGATGTTCCATTCAGGGAGAGAAAAGATGTGAAGATTTGGTTATTAAGTTGTGTGACTCTTCTTTGCAAACTATTGTTCTACTTTAAGTTGTTGCCTCCTAGCTTCTTTTTTCTTTCTCCTCCTTCTTTGCCATAATTAATTAGTAGAATAATTAGGGAGGCATTTATAGAGGCCAGGGAACCCAGATATAAGAAGGAACAATTATAGGACTGTAGCACTAGCACTGTCCTCCCATTGTTCATCGAGTTGCTCAAGCGGGCCCAGTAACGTCTCCATTGTGAGACTTGTTATAACTGTGTTTGGCATATAGAATACATCACGGGGAGCTTGCCAGGTTTTGTCGGGACGGCGAGATACTCTTGGTAGCTTGCCGGGCTCTCTGAGAGGGGCGGAAGAATTGAACCCAAACGCCCTACCACTGTACTATTGCTCCAGTCCCTAAGAAGGAACAAAGAGAAATCAAATACCTTCTCCCATAGATTCTGAATAAAAGACTTGATAGACAATGAAAAGAAAATAACCAGACCCCAGGAATATCAGACAATTCCTTATTTGTATGTTTCAGTACATGCTTTTTCATACATCATTAATTAAAATAAATATTATTTTCCTCATATTTTACATTATATAATATTTTTCTGTGTTAATTTGGAAATGTGTCCTTCCTGGTTGGCACTTGCCTAACATTATCTCTTTCATCTGTGTTGATGCTGACCTTTCACTGAAGTTATGTCCCTCCTTGTGTGTGATCATTCCATGTGTCATTAGAGCATGTCAGTAGTTAAATTTTTACATGATGGAGAATACATCATTGATGAGCAAACATTTTTGGATTTTTTTTTGCATCTCTTTGAAAACTGCAACTTGGATATTATCAGATTCCTATGTTTACACTGTACTCTGTCCCACGCACCTTGTAAATATTTGATAAATGTTACCTTTTAATTCCTGATAACATTATGAAAGTGTTAAGAAATGTTATGGCTGATAACCTCTTTCTGAGCCTAAGATTCACATTTACCACGCAAAGTTATTGATTGACTAGAGCAAAATGATTTTTGTTTCATGGAAACAAAGTCTCTCAAAGGCCACATTCAAACTTTCCCTTCATTTAATTGTTATGTTTTCCAAGGACAGAGATAAGATATCCCTCCTCCCCCCAATTCTGAAGCAGGTCAATCTGGGTCTACCAAGACCAAATATTTATGGACATATGTGCATATGCAGTTCTCAAATGACAAATGTGTGATAATATGTCAGAACGAAAGATTTTGAGACAGTATTGTTGACTGTCTGAGTTGGGCATTTACTTAAGCTGTGTTGCTGGGAAGCAAATACCTGGCCTCAAGCAAATAAAGCATTTTCTAATGAATGAATTCACATTCTTAAGTGTAGACTCCATGGTTGGGATATCCAGGTATGAAGGAATAATCCTGTGTAGAAAAATTGGAGACATAAAAAGTAGTATGCTTTAGGCAATAGGGTTCGAAGATTATAAGTGGCTGTATGTTTTAGAAGTACAATGTTATTATATCACATCCACCACTAAATTGCCAATATCTTCCTGGTTTTTATGTTGATGTGGGAATTCTTTATACTAAGTCTAAGCTTCAGAATGGATCAGCTTTAATAAAGTAACCATCAAACAATGAATTGAAATTTGATGGGAAAGTATCTTCGAACACTATATACTATGCTATATGATTCTATTTGTGTAAAGTACACCTATCTTTTTTTTTTCTTGGTGTATACCCAGCTCTGCTCAGGGCTTATACTTAACCTCTTTGTTCAGGGATCACTCCTGGTGGGCTCAGGAGACCATATGTTAAGCACCTTACCCATTATACTATCACTCTGGACCCTACAGATTTTATTTTAAAAGTAAGTCATTGCAACACTTTGGTTACTTGGGGTAAGGACTAGAAGAGATATGGTATGTAGCTTCTGAATATGGAAAGATTCTTTCTTGATCTTGATTTTGGTTGTAGAAGTATGGCCAACTGGTTAAAGCTCACCGAGCTCTACAGCTACGGTATGTTTACATGCATATATGTACACAT